GCTAGATCATTATTGAATTCTATTTGGATGAACTACCTAAATGCATTATGGATAAATGGTGTCCAAGGTGGTTTTTAGATAATTGTCTATATGGCACTATGTTGCTAGATTGCATACTTTGTGAGTGTGTTGTGATGAAGTGACTTGTCAGTATTTGACAGTTGGTAGACTTGGTTCTCTTTGTTTGTTCTTGAGTGGAACTTGCAAGATGCATGTAGTGAACTATATGTATATTGCATGACAAGTGGATGAGAAGAAGTACCATGAATGTGAAATTAAGTACCATGACGACTATAAAGCTATTCATAACAGTTATGAACATAAAATTATATGAGTCTTCAGAATATGTTTCTAGATACAGTCCTATCAATGCTTGTAATGGACAATTGACTTTATGCAAGATCTTTGAAGTAGGCTATTGCAAGTGAAATTGCCTTGATATTATATTGAATTATGATATGAATCATGATGATATTGAATATGTCTAATGATATGCTGATATGTTTTAAATGGTCGGGTATATAGGTCTTTGGATTGGGTGCTGATATGGAATTGTATATATCAGCTAGTATGTGATTTCATTTATAGGAGAATCACGTGCGAGGACATAAAGCTAGGTAATGTTAGCTCGATTAACGAAGAATAAAATTGAGTTGGAACTAATTAATGAGAGTTGTGAAGTGTTTATGTACTGTGAATTCCGAGGACGAAATTGCTTTAAGCGGGGGTAGAAACTGTAGACTGTCCCATTTTTCTATGAATGAGTCGTTTGCTGTATGAGTCGAGTCGGGTGATTCAAAACCCCGGTTAGATCCATTAAGTCCTAGAGTGGGGCAGAATGGGATGTAATTGAAAATAAGGAAAAGAAGTGAACTTACTTAAAAGGAACCAAGAAGATCAAAGTATAGGATTAGGACTTGCTTGCACTAAAGATTAAGTTGAGGTAATTGAGTTGTACCATTGACACTTGAGGTACCATTTGGTAATTTTTACACACAAAATATGAATATTTTTGGAGATGTACCGAGACTTCCCAGTTCACTTTCCCATTTGTTCCATTCTTTATCTTTCTTCATCCTCCTTCATCCTACTCCTTTCCCTTAGTCACCTTCCTTATCTCCATCATTTAAGGGATTCAACGCATTTAGTTCACTCTATCTACGTCTCAATAAGTATAACCTTCTTGAGATTTCAATACTTGAATCATTTGGTGATATTGTGAGTATTCATAAGAATGTCTCAGTATAGGAGGAGGTGAAGCTCAAAAGGTAAGAAGAAAAAGGAAGCTAATGAAGAAGCCTTGAAGCTTTTTTGAGTGAAGGTGTGCTATCTCTTTTCCGTTTAAATTAAATTTCCTTGCATGAGAATTGTGTGTGTGTTGGATAATCAGAAAATATGTTTGTTATGTTGAGTAAGATTACTGGAAAATGGTGAAAAGCATGAGATGAATGAATAATGAAAAGTAGATTATTGAGTTCATGCGAATACAGGTTTTGCTGGAAAAGTTACCAGTTAACTTCAGCCTTGATTTTACCCATTTAACGTGGAATTAAGGAAGTGTCATAGAAGAGTTATTTGTTCTCCTAGTGTGTTAGCTTTACATGGTTTTTGCAATCACCCTAAATCGAGTTGTAAATTGAGAGGATATGAACCAAAAGAGTAAGCAGAACTGCGCAGGCTTGGAAACACGTCGCGCGCTCGGGCGAATTTCATTTGCTCGCGTCGCGAACTTGGCCTGTAACTGCACTTGACCATCTCTTTTGGTGCTGTGAGGCGCTCGCGAACTTCATTTGCTGCGCTCGCCGGACTAAATGTTTTTATGCTCTTTTTTGACATTCAATTTCAAGGGCAAATGTATTCTTTGCTCAACTTTATGGCCTCAATCATTTAATGAACCAAATAAGAACAACAGTTAATATGCTCAACAACATGCCAAGCATTGCAAATGATGTGAAATGAGGTAAACACAACTGGTATTATATTTCTTGTGCAATTGTGAAAGTGATTGAAATTGGGTGTATGAAGTAATAATTCTAGAATTGTATTCCTTTCCTCAACTGTATGTCTTTGTCTTCAATCATTTTAAAGCAAAAAGACAACATGAACACATGTATAAACACAAAATGCAAGCATGCAAATGGTGTGAAACTAACATGACACAAGTTGTCCGCTTGGCGAGGCTATCAGCATACAGGTAAGCAGTAAATTTTATGAAATGATGAAGCAGTTAATTTTATGACAAAAGCAAGTGAAAATAACATGACACAAGCATGCAAATTATGACACAGTTACTATGCATTTGTTTTATCCATTGACATACCAACATTATGCTCCATTGAGGTTAGGTAGAAACCATGTAGATAAGGCTATGTCGCGACATAGAATAGCAGATCTGCACCCCATACAGTTTGCGCCCAATAAAACAGTTTGGTACTAGTCTCCGGCCTACAGGCCGTTGAGCTGGATATGATACTATATTACAGCCAAGCATACAGTTTCATCCAGTTTCATCCAGTTTCATACAGTTTTTCTTATCACTTCGGTTTCACTATAACCTTATGGAGCTATACAGTTATGTGGACTACAAATTGCATAATCATACAGTATAATGAGCAGCAAGTATGGATAATGAAAGTATCATGATATGTGTGCTTACATTCCATATGTGAGTACATGTTTATTGCTACATATGTGTAACATCCTTTCCCGGTCCACCCGTTAACTCAAATGAACCGAGCTGAGACGCTACAATCTGGTTGAACCTATGTCCTTTCATGCTAATGATCAGGAGTAAAATCCATGAAAGTATAATGCCTATATATGCTTAAAGTTTATTTATTGAATCTTTAAGGAGGCCCTATACAGTCATGAAGATGTTATAATCATAACTTATATGTGTACCAAAATGCAATAAGTTCATACGGCATATAATGCTAAAGAAGACAATGAACATATACTGTTATGTATTCTTACATGTTTTACTTTGATTTCATTCATACAACACATATGAACGAGTAGGTAAAGATCATGATGAGATC